ATACTTTTGTCTAGATTCTTGATAAAAATGTTACCCACGCCAGATTTGCGAAGAGAAGGGTCCCTCTGCGACCACATAATACGACATGGTCTTCCTTTGATCGGGTCAAAATTCATCGTGTCCAGCGCTCTTTCCGCTATAAGGAATTTTAAAACCGAGAAAGAAACGAATTAAGATACATATTGTTCAAGCTAAGACCTGAAATCACATTTTAAAAAGCTAACGAAGCTTCGTAAATTCCTTACCGGCAGCGGGTTGTTGAAAGTTCACGTAAGCATAGCCCAGCGAACGACGAGTGACTATATCGCGGCAAACTCTGATGGACAACACAGCCCCAACAGTGCTGAACTTCTCGAACAGCATAGCTTCGGTGACATCTGTTGCTAGATCACCAACGTACAGAGACGCTATGGGATAGTTTGGTGCGTGTGGAGCGGGATTCATCTTCAAACTTCTTTAGATTCACTTCGTTCTTGGCTGACTGTGTCCTCAAGTTGAATTTCTTTTGAATTTTTATGGAAGATTTTGTGATTTTTTTGGCAATTTTTTCTGATTTTAAACTTTTTTTTCGATCTTTTTCTACGTTTTGCAAATTTTTTTGGCGGCTTTTAGCGTCGCTAAAGGAAAAGAACGCTAAAAAAACCTTTGAAATACTTAGCAAGAAGCTACCTCGTCAACGATTTCTCGAAGGTGAGAGGAAGTGTTGCGCCACGAGTTCTCTTATCTATCTGCGGGGGCTCCCCTGGAGACTTGCAGGGCTAAAACTCTGATTGGATAAAAATGAACTAAACTTATTTCCGGTTACGTCATTTCTTAGCACGTGCACTGACTGGTGCACTGCTATCCAGATAAATCAGTAATTTCCGCTATTTCCTTGTAACTTTCGATGATTCACTCGCGAGAAGTCGAAGTTTCTGGGGAATACAGGGAAAAAACGTCAACCTCTCAAACTTCATTTCTCAAACCGTCGTGTCTCCCACAGAAAAAAAAAACTGATTCCCATTATTGGATATTTTAGGACATTTAAAGAATACCTATAAAAATCCAAAATTTGGCAAAGTGAGACAAGTTCCAACCAGGGAATTCCCAACCAAGTTCCCTGGTTAGGACTTATCTAACCCTTCCAAATTTGGGATTTTTGTGGGTGTTCTTTACATACCCTAAGACATCCAAAAAATGGGAATCTGTTATTTTTTCCTGTGTCCGGGATAATTTTAATTTTTTTTTTCGCTACCCAAGAAAAAACTTTGGGCTTCTACGCAACAAAAAGTAAATTGCATTCAAACCCCGGGCGAGACAAAAAATAATCTTTATTTTTCTTCCTCAAATAAATTTTAATTTAAAAAGAGCTAGAGGTGATTTCCAGATATCTCGAACAAATTCCGCTCTCAGTTCATCAATACGAAAGGGCTCACGAACAGCATTTTTTGGGACGTTCTGGAGCGTTGCGAGTCCTTTACTTGGCACTCCATCCAAGTAACTAGAGGAAAACTTGTCCAAATAGGAGGATTTGATTAAAAGCGCGATTTTTTTTTCTATCAGCTGGCTGCCGCTGGAAATTCCTCATTACTTGAAAAAATAAAAATACAAAAATGGATAAATAAATAGTAAATAATAATGAAAACGTTACAGTCAAGAAGACTTTTGCAGGGACTGATCAAACAACGTGAAATAGAGTTAAGTTGCGATATTTCGACTGACCAATACCAGTCTTCATCAGGTTTATTGAGATATCACGAATTTACAGAAATATATATGAAGTAAACTAATGACCGGAAATTACATAATATGACGTGGTATGGTGTGGCTACTTAAAAGTAAATTATTTACCTAAAAGTAAATAATAATAATAATAATAATAATAATAATAATAATAATAATAATAATAATAATAATAATAATAATAATAATGTAATAATACAATGAACATTTCAAAATTCCAAAGCATCCTTTGACATATAAATAATATTCAAAACAATGATTGTTGCAAATAAATTTAAAATTAAAAGTATTTTAATTTTTGATCAACTGTTCGGAAAGTCAAATTTCACCTCCAAATTGAAGGCATGATTGAGTATTAACCAAAACATGATCATTTGCAGACATGCTGTTGTCAGCAGAATAAAAAGTCGTGTGTCAGCTTCCAACTGGCTTTTAAAAAGATTTAAAAAGATTACATACACAGGAAAAAATAACGGATTCCCATTTTTGGATATTTTAGGGTATTTAAAGAATACCCATAAAAATCCCAAATTTGGCAAAGTGAGACAAGTCCCAACCAGGGAATTCCCAACCAAGTTCCCTGATTGGGACTTGTCTCACTCTTCCAAATTTGGGATTTTTGTGGGTATTCTTTAAATTTCCTAAAATATCCAAAAATGGGAATCTGTTATTTTTTCCTGTGATACTATTCTGTTGCCAATAATAGACCCCATAGTAGTCATGGTAGACAAATGTTATTTAGTAAGTGACTTTCTGTTTATGCATCTACCTTTTGAAAGCCAACTCTTTAACTGCAAATATTCCCATTTTTAAATCCCTCCTTACCAGAACTTTTTTTACCCCTAACAACCTGAAAATGTGCAACCCCATTGTAATAACTGTATTGAAAATGCAGCCCCATTATAGTCAACGCAGTCATGAAAATAAGACCCCATCCAGTGGCACATCTCCTTCAGCCTCTTCCTCTTCATTCCCACCTTGTCTTTTAAAAATCCCCTGTTCCCTAACTCCTAAGAAGATCCAATGTTATTTAAGGCTTTCAGGATAGACATTTTATACTCTCTTAGTCTTAGACTGCAAGCAGGCTCCGACACTTGTGCAGGTTCAGTGAAAAATTTTGGCTCGCACAAGTAAGCCTGCCCACAGGTTAATATCCTCCCTTGGCTTCTCCTCACCTGCCATTAAATGTTTCTCCCTACGAAGCTTCAAGTAAGGTATTTAGAAGGAATCCTTCAGGAATTTGAGTAATTTTAATTTTCAGTGGACAAAAACCTTGTACCAGAATATTTAGGACATATCACCTTCTTTTTAACACTTTCTAAGGGCTGTAGATGCAATAAGTTATCTGTAATAACACCAAAGACAATTTCTAATGGGAGCATGAGCAAATAGATTTCAAATTTCACGGGAATTGAGAAAACACAGGTAAAATCATCATGCATAAGATTTCATTTAGTGAAATTTGCAGCATTTGAAGTTTGTTTTCTCAGGCTCCCATACGAACCTTTTCTTTGCAGTTATTTCATAGAACCAATATTTTTTTTAAAGCCCTCGAAAAGTCTAAAAAAGAATGCAATATGCTTGAAATTATTCTGGTACAAGGATTTTGTCCACTGAAAATTAAAATAATTAAACTCATTTTTTTTATTGATCCATCTTAAATCTTTAAATATGATCCTTCACTGGTGGCAATGCAAAAAAAGGTCTCTCATCACATTGGCATATTTTGCAGAGGGGGTATCAAGAATTCCCTGGTCCTCTTGGATTTGCCTTTGAGGCTGATTAGCACCATTACGTGGTTTCTTTTCCAGAAATGTAGACAAAAAGAAGTAAACGGAATTTGCTTTGTAAGCTTTCATAGCTGAATTCAAATTTCACACTACCCCTGGGTTATCTTAACCTAGCATTGAACAACCCAGCTCTTAACTATAGAATAATACCTCTTACTTGTTACCACCTTCAAACTCAGAACTTTTCCCAAGTTGTCCACAAGCTCTTTAAACCTAGCTTCATCCATGTCTTCA